GTATCCTGGTTCCCTAAATGTGTCAGATCTAGACTTTAAACCTCCAAGAAACTGGTTTGGTTAGTTAATTTGCTTAGTTTTCACTTGGCATCTTGTATAAATTTCAACAAATCATACTTTGACACAGAGTACAGTTACTATAAGGACACTACCATATCAAACATGATCATTAATTGGCAGCAAAAGCTAGTGCTCTCTTAATGTCTTTGTATCTCTCTTTGATGCTTGCCTATATTTTTGCAGATATGTAGATCTAGCAAAGAGTATCCTAAAGAGTAGTTTATACATTCACATCCCCAGCCTAAATTAAAAGTTATGTTATATATATCATAAAAGTGCTAAAATAAGTACTTTGTTGCACCAATAATGGTATTGACAGAGAACTTGAAGATCTCTGTGTACCTGCTCTAGTGTACATAAATGTTATGTATTGTGGAATAGCAATATTATAAAAATATTTTTATAATATACTTCCTCTTTCTTTTAAGCATAATTTGCAGGTCAAACCACAGCTTGAAGGTTATACTAACAATAGGGTTGCAAAAATCTGCATGACAACTAGCTGACATTTTTAGACTTTTCTGTATCCCATTGTATCTCATAGATACTCTGATTTTTGTAGCCCAGATCCAGAAGTTGTATGTTTTAGTTTAATAGAACTCAATTCATTCCACTCGTCATAATTTTCAAGCTGGCACTATGTTTCACTCTTACTCTTATCAACCCTCAAAAATGTGAGTTACAATTGGAAGGATGATGGAATCAACCATAAGGGCAATCTAGGTTTTGCTATTCCTATTTGGATCCAGAATAGAACAGAATAGAGTTGGAAGGGACCTTGGAGGTCTTCTAGTCCAACCCCCTGCTCAGGCAGGAAAACCTATACCATTTCAGACAGATGGTTGTCCAATCTCTTCTTAAAAACTTCCAGTGTTGGAACATTTACAACTTCTGAAGGCAAGTTGTTGCACTGATTAATTGTTCTGTCAGGAAATTTCTTAGTTCTAAGTTGCTTCTCCCTTTGATTAGTTTCCATCCATTGCTTCTTATCCTGCCCTCAGGTGCTTTGGAGAATAGCTTGACTCCCTCTTCTTTGTGGCAGCCCCTGAGATATTGGAATACTGCTATCATGTCACCCCTAGTCCTTCTTTTCATCAGACTAGACATACCCATACCTTAAGTTTTTGGCTTAGCAAGATGTCTTAATACTGTTAAGTCTTCTTATACTCTCCTACTTTAACAAACAGGCAAATACTGAATTAGCTTATTAGTATCTGCTGAAGTAAAACTACATAGCTTTTTATGCTTGTAGGAAGTTACCTTAGTAGTACACGCAGTGACTAAGCTTTTTTCAGTATTGACCTAGGATCCTAAGATCCATTGCAGATTATTCAAACAAGAAAAAGGTCAGCTCAGCAAGTTTTGTTTGCAGGTTGAAAATACATAGACTTAGTTACATGCAAGTGAGGAAAAAATGTCTGGGCACGGCAGCTAGAATAAACTAGTGATTTTTTCAAACTTGACAAGTTTAAGATGTATGGATTTCAATTCCCAGAATTCTCCAGCCAGAATGCTGGCTGAGAATTCTAGCTGTTGAAGTCCATACATTTTAAGAGTTGTCAAGTTTGAAAAATTCTAAAATAAACAGCATGAAGTCTGCCATTTTTTTTTTCTAGGCAATTACTTTGTACAATTACCATCAGAAAGTGTAGGCTAGTAATAGTATTTATGCTATGGAGTTATTTACTAGATGGTTCTGTTGCTAGTAGGATGGCAGAAAGAAGAAAGGGTATGAAGGCCTTTGCCTTCCCTGAATTTGATGTCAGCTAAACCTTTGGGACTAGAGTTCATATTGTTATTAGCAAGCCTGCTCCAGCAGTAACACAACCACTAATTAGTTCAGCTGATATTAATTCTGAATTGGCACTTGTCTATGTCCTCACAAGTGCACTAACATTTCAACTGGACTGAATAAGAAACTGAAGACATTTAAAATTTCTTAATTCCCATGCCCCGTCAACTCATGTCCATGAAATATACTACAAACATCAGATTTAATATAGTGTTATATCTAGAACAGATTCATTCTAATCAATAGTACTTAAATTGCTTTGAAGCGGTTGTTTCTAGTGGGTCTACTGCACAAATTATTGTATCTTCAGATTCATGAACCTTTCACACACACACACACACACACACACACACACACACACACACACACACAGTCATTCATTCACTCACTCACCCCACAGAGTTGTTGTTATGAAGCAGGAGTGTCAATCTCGGGGCGTCACGTGACATCACGTGATGTATTGTGATTTTTTCCCCCTATGCTAAAATGGGGGTGGGCGTGGCCAACATATGACACATCCAGCCTGCTGGATGCAGGTTTGACACCCTTGTTATGGAGAACATAAGAAGGTATGTTGGATATGTTTGTCCTCTTGAGTTCTTTGTAAAATTAATAAAGGCTGGATACCAATAAATAAATAAAATACAAAGACATCAGTTAGATAATTTTTATTTCAAATTGCTTGTTTATTTTGCGTTATATGGTAAAAATGGGAAACTTCTCCTAAATTGGTGAAGATTACTAGGCAACATTACTATGATCTATCAGGAGAAACTGAAATACTTTTTGCTGATATTATTGGAAAAAATTGCTGATGATGTTGAGCTTTTTAATTATTTTAGTAGTTCACCTCCCGGGGGCATTCTATTCCCACACCTAATCTCAAGTAGTTCAAAATACAAAAAAGGGAAGAGATCACACTTTACTTTCAGCCATGGGAAGGGCAGTGGTGCCTAACCTTTTTGGGCTCCTGTGCCAAAAATTGTGCGTGCTTGCGCACCAGCAGCCAAAGGGCAATGCGCGTGCATCCCCCCACTCCCTGCGCATGTGTGCACAATCCCCGCCACCCCCTAACCTGCACTGTGCCTTACAGCTGATTTTTGGCTGGCTTAAGGCCTTTTTTGGCCTCCCAGAGGCTTGAAAAAAGCCTCTGCAGGCTTTGCAGGATCAATAATAGGACAGTGACAAAACGGGCCTATTATTCTTCCATTCCCATTCAAGAAAACAGGAAGAAAATGCTGCTAAAATTTAGCAATTTTTACTTCTTAATTTTCAGTTGTACAATGTGGTGCCACATGCCAGGAATTGATATTAAATTCTTATTTCACAGGCCAAACCCGAGATCAGCAGGATTTGCCCATTTGCGTGCATTGAACTATAGTTCTAATGTTTTTTAATACTAAATGTTTCAGCAACTGAAACATTTTAAGAAGAAAAATATATTATAATTAATTTTATTATCCCCATGGCTGACATTGAGAAATACCAAAATACCTTCCAGTTTCAATTAATGTAGATTCTTGTACTTTGCTCTATGAAATAAACAGATCATTAAATTTTCTCTGTGTGGTGTGTGTTTAAACTTGACACTTTTAAGATGTGATATTTTAAATATTTCCATATTGGGAGAAACATATTTTATTACATCACTATTTCTTTGTAGGAAGCTAATATTCCATACAGCATGTTTCCAAATTATATTAAAAGGCAAATTAGAATGATTGCCTTGCATTTCTTTATATTTCCATTTCTATTTGAAGCTTTTTTTTACAATAAAATCAATACAATGAAAATCCATTATGTTAGGTTATTGAAATGATCTGTGACTAAAGAGATGAGCATGATCTCTAATTCGTGGAACAACCACTGAACTCTCAAAAGTCACAAAACAAGATTTTCTGAATCATTTGGGGAAATTGTAGGGTCTGAACTTTTGTGTTTAATACAAATCTGAACCTGCATAATGTAACTACTTCCCTCAAATATATTCAAAATATTTTTTTTTCTGGAAGACATTTTGGTAATCTGTGTGGGTGTTAGCATGGCTCAAAATGCAATGTAAAAATTAAAAAGTGTGGGCAAGTTTGTAATGTAAAAGAAAATGGCAAAATTAACATAGTTATAATAGGAAATACCATGGGAATAACAGAAGAACCGCAGCGGGGGAGAAAACTCGAAAGCAGACGACAATAAACTCAAAGTATACCGTATAAATAGCATTAAAAAAAACTTTGTGGGTTCTCAACAGACTTAACACAATTCAATTTATTCAATTAAGCCGGTGATCTGACCCAGGTTCCGGAACCCTCCAGGCACGACGAATAACAACTTCCACGTTCAGACAAGTTGGGTAAGTTTCCGTCTAACTGAAACTTACAAATAAATAAAAACTGTGTGTTTCACCGGGCAAACCGGCAATATTTAGAAATAGCTATCTATTAGTACTGTGCTAATACTAATTATCAATTATTAATTTCCCCAAACCCCAAAAACTTTAACCTTAGATTGTCTACTATTGACCTCACCCCTTTCCTAAGAGGTCTCCTAGGGGGCGTGCATAAGCGCACCAACCGTCCCTGTCCTATTGTTTCTTTTATTTTTTATTTTTCTTATATGTATCCATGTATTCATAACTATGTTTTTATTTATACCTATTATCTTGTCAGCAATTGACAAATAAGATAAATAAATAAATAATCTCCCTCCTCCCTTTCGTTTTCCCTTTAATCTCTCGCCTCTTTCCCGTCCCCTCCCTGCCTTTCCTAGCACAAATTACACTGCTAGGCGATTTAAGAGGGAGGAACGAGGCAAATGAATTTGGGATTCTGGGATATGTAGTCTCGACCTTTTTCCTCTCCCACCTCATTCCTATGCGTTTCTTACGTATCTCGCCGTCCCACGCGGAAGGGGGGGGGGGCAAAAAAAGGGTCCGGCATACATTTCCCAGAATGCTGCAAAAGAGAGGGAGAGGTTTTGTGTTAGGGTTAGAGAGACAGGGAGCCGGCCACAAACGGCGCGTGGCGCTTTGAGTTTTCGGGCGGGTAGTTGACGGGGGTGGAGAGGCGGGGTTTCTCCTTTGGCGTCCCGTGACCCGCAGGTGGGCGAGCGCGCGGGGGTTCCAGAAGTGGGAGGCGGTTCCTCCGGCGGCCGCGTGGAGCGCTGGGGAGTCGCTGTCGCCGGCTTCTGCGTGCGCGCCGGGCCGAGTGACACGGCCCTCTGCTGTTGCGGCGAAGGGAAGGAGAGAGACCGCGGAAGGCGACCGGTCGATGAAATAAACCGATCGGAGGCTGCCCCTGCCTCGTGGAAGTAGGCGGTGGGAGACGCACGCAAGCAGCTGCCCTGCCTTCCCCGGCCAAGACTGAGCCCGTGAGGCGGACGGTCACGGGCAGAACCGCCGCCACCGCCTTCCAAGCGGCTGACAATGAAAGTGAAAGGCAGGAGCCGCGGAAGGGGAGGTGGAGGCGGCGGCTGCCCCCGGGGTTGCGCCTGCCGCCTCCCCCACCGTGCTGAGTGATCCCGACCTTTCCCGGTGCGCTTCTCTCAGGGAGCGTTCCCGAAGAAAGAAAGCTGCCGCCTCTGTTTCTGCTTCCTCGGAACATTGGCCGTGTTTTCCTCGCGGGGACCCACGAAGAGGGTGCAACGTGTGAACGCTGGCTCGTCTCCTTTCGCTCGCCTGCAGCTGCTTTTCGAGTGGGGCCGCGTGGATCCTAGACGGCGACGGGAGAGGCGGCGGCGGCGGCTGGTGGTCCCGCGACAGCCGCCGCGATTCAGGTGGCTTCTCCGCACCCCTCCGCTCCGCTTGGCGTTGAGAGCGGGGAGAGAAGGTGGCTGCGCGGAATAAGCCCAGTTTAAAGTAGAAGCAGAAAGCCAACTCTCCTTGCCGTTTTCCTCGACGTTTCCTATTGCGGCTGGTGTTTTCCCCTGGAAGACGGATTGCGGTGGTGTAGCGGAGTTTCGGGGTCTCCCCTGGCTTGAAGGAGAAAAGTGGAGAGAGATCAGTCAGTACCTCTAAAACTGGAAGTTATTTTTGCCTGACAAGCCTGAATCAATAATAAAGTGGCCTGAGGACAGCTTTACTTTGCTTTTGTTTTTTTGCATTTTCTCCCCCCCCCCACCCCCGTCCTTTGAAATTGGCATTATTTTATAATGGTATATATAAAAAAATGAACACTGGCTTGAAACTTGCCTTGTCTTACACCTTTTTCCAGGGAAGGCACTGAACACATTTTTATTTTGCGTTTGGAAAGGCCTTTTATAATGACAAAAAATAGGAACTAATCTCTTGCCATTGGAAGGAGAAAAAGACCATAGTGGGGGGAAAATTGGTTATTATAGTTTGTTTTTCAGTTGCTGCGCTTAGAGTTGGTTTTTGTTCAGAACAATTCGTACAGATTCTACTTTTAAGAATTTTTTAGAAATCTTTGTGAGGAGGATTTTGATTAGAGACTGCTTGCCTCAAAACCTGACCCAAGTACTTTAAAAGTGGAATGTGAAGTAAAACTGAGCAGTTTCTTAAACAGAAGGCAAAATGTTTTAAAATCATAAAGTTCTATGTTTAATTGACAACTGTTTTATATCTAAGCCTTTTTCATTCCTATTTTATTCTATGATTATGCACTTTGGTTTTTATTTAATTGTGAAGAAGGGAAAAATTACTGTACTTATATATTCATAAATTACAGCTTTGAAATCTTTACCAGAGAATTGGGAATTTTAAAATGCCATGATAAACTTGTTTTAATAAAACACCCAATAGTGTCTTCTTCAGAAGTTTTAGACAAGTGTTGCTGGAGGGGTTCCTCCTTATTCTCCATTAATGAGTCCTGGTGGTGGTGCTGGAGGACCCATGAAAGACTGTGAATACAGTCAGATCAGCACTCATAGCTCCTCTTCTCCCATGGAGTCCCCCCATATGAAGAAAAGCATTTCCAAGAGAAAATGGGAGGTTTTCCCTGGAAGAAACAAATTTTTTTGCAATGGAAGGATCATGATGGCTCGGCAGTCTGGAGTCTTCTACTTGACACTTGTTCTTATTTTGGTTACCAGTGGACTCTTTTTTGCATTTGAGTAAGTGCCGTTAAAGTTTTTTTTCACCCGTTTCTTACTAATAGAACTATGCAAGAATTCAGGTATCTCATTGATGCTAGGCTGTATCAGTAATTTATACTGCATTCATGATTTATATGTTTAATTTAATTCTTGAAAACTTTGAAGTTGAATAATTGTCAATTTGGTATGATCTAGACAGATGAGATTTCAACTCCAGTTTAAAAGTAATGCTGGTCTTTTGCAGTGGAAAGAAGTTTTTAAATGATACAGAATTTTAAAGTACTAATGTTCATTGAAAAGTTTACTGATTTGTCATTTCATAAAGTTCCATTAAGGCAACTAGCTATTTATGCTTGAGAATACTTCCACAATCAGTGCAGAAGCTGTATATTTCTCCCGCTCTAGTCAAAAATTTCTATATTAAGTTGTTATATATCAGGTTAATGGTTTATCAATAGGCATAATCCATGACGTTATATAGTAGGCTTGGATATTATTTGTATGATCTGCCTAATACGCAATCGTTTTGGGTTTTCCATCAAACTTGCTAACTCATTGAAGACATAAAACTATCCAGGCTAAAGATATTTCATAATATCCCCTTTTCTTGACTGTTATTCTATTTTCCCCCTCTCTGCTGTTAATTAGTACAGGTTCCCTTTTTAAAAGGGGAAATAATATTTTCTCTAAATGCACTTGCACATGTCAGTATGTTATATCCTTGATATCTCAAAGTTATATTCATGATAATAGAGCAAAGAAAAGTTAATATGTTGTAAATTTTCTTTGCAGATATTTGAGAATGCATTGCATATGATGCAATAAAAATAGATAGTTTTCTAATAGGGGTAGTCCTCAACCATTTGTTTAGTGGTTGAAATTACAACAGCACTGAAAAAAATGACTTATGACAGTTTTTTACACTTAAGACCATTGAAGCACCCCATGATCAAATGTTTGGCAACTGACTTATATTAATGACAATTGCAGTGTCCCAGGGTCATGTGATAATCTTTTGTGCCCTTTTGACAAGCAAAGTCAATGGGAAATCTAGATTTACTTAACAACCATGTTACTAACTTAACAATAGCGGTGATTTACCCACCAACTGTGGGTAAATGGTCATAAAATGAACAAAACTCACTTAACTGTCTTGCTTAGTAACAGAAATTTGGAGCTCGCTTGCGATCATAAGTCAAGGACTACCTATATATATAGACTATCCAGTGTATTTAATAAATACATTTCCTAAGCATGAATTCTAGATAAATAAAGAAATTATATTGATTGTAAATCTTGATAATTAAGTGAAAAAATGTTTGGATAATCCATTATCCAAATTAAAGACCCAAATTGTTGGGGGCAATATGCTGACTCTGTAAACGCTTAGAGAGGGCTGTAAAGCACTATAAAGCAGTATAGAAGTCTATTGCTATTTAACTAATCATTTATTATGAGCTATAGTTTAGAATTTATTTTCTGTTCATGGAAAATCAGCTATCAGCTTATTGATTTAATTATGATAAAGTGCCAAATTTCAATTCCTGATATGCATTTTGATTTTTCCTCACCTCATTAAAAACATACATTATTTACACTTGGCATAAAAGAGTAGCAGCTGAAGTTATGAATATAATCCTGACAAGCGTTCTAACTGGTACAAACTGGCACTATTATTGGATTGTTCTGAAAAAAAAAACTTGCCTGCAGATGAGGTTTTCTACAGGAGCAAGTTTTTTATAGAATGAAAACACAAATGAGTGGGCGTCTTACATAATCCTGTAATGTTAAATAAAAATAGAATGTCTTCAATTTTATATTAATTTATAAAATGATGTAATTAAAAAGAAGACAAAGCTATTGAGAGAACTTTTTGGTAAATCAACCTGCTTTTTGTTTCTAAGTAAGTTACAGCATGAATGGTAGGCAAATTTTCTGTCTGGTGCTTTATGCAGGGACTGAAAGAGTTCTTAGAAGTCATGATCTCCACCTGAATAGTGGTTGGTGAAAGTTACCCCAGATTATATTATGATCAGTATATGTTGATGTTATTCTTTTTGGCAGTAGCATGCATTTATATACAGTAGTAATGATTACAAATTTGTTCACCCAGGTATTTTTTTCCCCTGTCAGTATGTTAAAGCATGATGGTTTAAGCAATCTAATGACAAATCCTTATCCACAGAAAGCCATATTGATCCAACAGAAAGAAGCAAGACAAGCAGTATTCAGCTGCTGGAAGCTGTATTTGTTTCATTAATTTTGGTTTATTATTTTGAACATAGATTCATCATTTTAATTTATTTTCTTCAAAGAGAAATATTCAATATTTTTTAGAACGGTTACTTCTTTTTCAGATAATAACCTACTGTGCAGGAAAAAATATTTTTTCTTTAAAAGAAGCAATTATTTCTTCAGGATTGCACTATAGAATTTTATGAATTACTTTAGAATTCACTTGAAAAGTTATACAATAGAAGAGAAAAATAAAATGCAGGCAGTCCTTAACTTTCGACCACAACTGATCCAAAAATTTCTGTTGCTATGGTAAATGAAACAGTTATTCAGTGAATTTTGCTGAATTGTATGACCTTTCTTGCCACAGTTGTTAAATTAGTCACAGAGTTAAGTGAATGTGACTTCCCCATTAACTTCACTTGTAAAAAGGTCACAAAAGGGGGGGTCACATAACCCTGGGATGCTGCCACATCATTAATATGAGTCGGTTGTCATGTCTAAATTTTGATCACATGACCTTGGGGATGCTGCAACGGTCATGAGTGTGAATAAAGTTACAAATTGCTTTTTCAGTGCCATTGTAACTTTGAACGGTCACTAAATGAATTGTAAGTTGAGGACTACCTGTACTGTATTTTGTCCTACTCTGTTAGTAGCTGTAACTAAATACTGAGAGACTAATAATCCAATAAAAATGATAAACCTGCTTTTTATGTTTCAGCTAAAGGCCCAAGCATCTATATATAATGAAGGACATTATTTTATCTCTTACCTTTATTTGGGAAACTTTTTTTCTGGAAGTGTTATATTGTCCTGTCTTGCCTCATATTAGGCAATGAATACAGGTATACACTACTGTTTTTTTCATTGCAAGTGCTGACGTAAACTTTTACCAGTTGAAGTGCCCTAATATTAATCTGTAAATTATTTTCCTCTAATTCATTAAATTCTTAGTATAATGTCTAGACAACTATAATTATAGTTTCTATGAATATTGTGGAAATTCCATATAAAATTTATGGATATGTGAAAAAACAATATTGCACGAAGAACAGGGTGCAAAAATAGGTATGGAAATATAGAGAGCATTTTTTGATGTATTTTTGTTACATAACCATAGGGAAACCTTTCTAGTTTCCTTTGGGTTGATAAATACAGTACTTTGAAACTGTGTGCATAAGAAATGTGTTAACAGTTATTATCATCTACGTATCTTAAAGTCTAAGGCTATCTAACAAGATAGAAGTATTCTAGGTAGTGTATATTTTTACTTTTTAAAATGGGAAGTAAGAATTCAAATACTTTGAAGTGAGTTTTTTTCTTTACATACTTCAGAGCCATTCATATGCCCCGGAAGCATTAGTCCAAAGCCAGAATATTATAGTATCTCTTGTATGGTAAGAAAAGAGACCTGCCCAAATAAATAATTTTATATCTACATCACAATGTTTATTATTAAATATTGATATATCATTTAAAAGTTACCTTGCCGTATGTAAACATACAGGACTGGAATCACAAAGTATGACCCATTATTAAAAGGCTGCTATGCAACCTTTTAGAAGTCCCAGTTCCTTCTACGGTTTAAAAGTTATTAAAGAGTAGTATGTACAACACAACTTGCAATTATAAAAGATTACTTTATTAGTACATGGTAGTATATTTCATCACACTTTAAGAATTGAAAGCTACTATTCACATTTTCAAACTTTGTTTTTGGACATTTTGAAATAATCTCGTGTTATGTGATGAATCAATTTTAATTTTAAAAATACTGAACATTTGTTAGTATAAGACTTAAATAATTGAATGGAAGATGATTGAATGGAAGAATGAATGAATGTGTTTATGAGTAAAGGTGAAGGTTTCCCCTGTCCAGTTGTGTCAGACTCTAAGGGGCAGTGCTCATCTTTGTTTCTTAGCCAAGGGAGCACATGTTGTCTGAAAACATTTCTATGGTCATGTGGCCAGCATGACTACACACCAAGGTACACGGAACTGCTGTTGTCTTCCCATCAAAGTGGTACCTATTTATCTACTTATATTTGCATGTTTTTGAACTGCTAGATGAGCAGGAGCTGGGGCAAGTAACAGGAGCTCATCCCTTCACACTGCACTCAGGTCTCAAACCTCAGTGTCTTAACTGATGAGCCATCATTGTCCCATTTATGTATAGATATGCTCAGAAAGAACTGTAGATCATTGGGGAATGGGATTTTCTCTCATCCCTTGAATACTTCTGAGAGGGTGAAGACTCTTCTGAACAAAGTGAGATTAGATGAAATGGAGAATGAGATTGTTATAAAGAAAATGGAAAGCCTGCCCAATCTGCACTCGAGTGATATATACCCTATAGAATATGTTTCAGGGTATGCACAGTATGCTGCGGGAATGTGGAAATGGATAAGTTGTAATTATACATTGTTGGATGTAGTAAAATTTAAAACATCAGGAAATGAAGAGGGTAATCTAATATAATACAAAAACACAATTAGAAACATTAATTTGTTTGTATTGAATAAGATGCAGCCTATAATTAAATAGGCCAGAATTTTTTAAAACTGCTTTCCTTTCCCTAAATTTCTGCTTCCTGGCTAATACTAATTACAAAAGTACTTGGTAAAAAACAACTCTGGATCTTAACATGTTTTGTTGATTAAAAAAATAATTTTCTATATATATATAAAAACGTCTATCCATACACCATAACTCCAGCTGGTTTACAAACAACAATCAAGACAGTAAAAAAAACATGTAATTTGGAAATAGTTGGTAGATGT